TATGAAATACCTCTAGACGTCTTAATTAATTTTTTAATGTAAGAAAATTATTATTTGATGGAATAAGAAATTCAAGAATAAAAATCTTGTCAAATTTACTTAATTTTAATTTTAAATAATATTTTTATATGACTTGTACAATTGTCAAATACACCTCAACTAAATTAAAATTAATTTATAATAATTCTTCGTAAAGACTATTTTAACCTTAATTTAAAGAATTCGATGAGTATTGTTTTTGACAAGCTGACCATTTAGCACTATTTTTGCAAGCAATTTTTTTTTTCAATAAAATGAATAATAGACATGTTTAATCCAATAAGGATAGTGGCGCCGGTTTAAACCGGGCTGCCGGCCAAGTTGGACCGTTTTGAATAATAGAAAACATAGAATGCCTAACAAAATTAACTACCTCCCCCGCATGTAACACCATCCGTTCCACAACGCATCACGATTCACGCATGCATACATGACCGCATAGATGCATCGCATGCATACATGCCCGCATAGCAAAACTTATTTAAATAAATCTTCTCTCTTCTATCATTCCCATTTCTCCTCTTCACACATTTCTGTAGAACTCCCGCTGTGAGAAGATCGGATATGGGACAGGTAAGCGAGATCGAAAGATTCGAATATGAATTTAGATTTTGAATGCAGTTTCGTTGATTTTTGTTGATGGATTTGTGGTTGATTTGATGGTTTTGCAGGAAGCGGAGAAGGAGAAGGAGGATGTCGATGGCGGGAAGAAGAAGGAAGAAGTGTTGCCTGTCGTCATTTTTAAGGTCGATGTGCATTGCGACGGCTGTGCATCGAAGATCAGGCGATGCGTCAGAGGATTCCAAGGTATTTAATTAATAAGTTGCAGAGATACAGATGCAGGGGACTGCGATTTAGCCGCGCCCTGGATTATTTTCTCAATTTCCCTTTAAAATTGTTCCGAAGAATCGGAATCGGACGGGGATCGATTTTTTTTTGTTCCAGATTCTGTCCTCAGATCATTTTCTGGTGTTTTGCTTTTTTGATTTTCTGGATTTGTCGAGGATTATTGAAAGAGGAATTGATGGATTATGCTTTTATTCGATTAATTGAAAATTTAGAGAAGAACAAGTGAGTTAATGATTTGATTTCATTGATTCGACCTTCTGCTTTCTTCTCAAACCCAAAGCATCTTGTATCCATCACATCGGCCATTCTATTCAATCCGGCTTACGTTGCCTTTCATTATTGAATTCCTAATCGTTTGATTGCCAAATAAAAAAATCTCGAAAATCGCTTTCTAGCATTTTAATCCACTCAATTTTTATTTATTTAATTTTATTTTCATTTGGATTTAGGGGTGGAGGGAGTTACGGTCGATAAGGCTACCAACCAATTGAGTGTTACAGGGAATGTGGATCCCTGGATGCTTCGAGATCATGTAGAAGCCAAAACTCATAAAAAGGTTGAGATCATCTCCCCGGTGAAACCACCGAAGAAGGAGATCGATGGCGGTGACAAGAAGCCGGCCTCTGCCGCCGCCGGCGCTGGCGGTGATTCGAAGGACCAAAAGAAATCAAAGGAGGTCGGTTGCTGACCAAAAAAGTTATTTTTATTTGCAATTAAGTACCTGGTAAAATAAAATTTTACAGCAGCAATTACATTTAGCAATGGATGAAAAATTAAATTATTATTTTTAATTGATATTATGTTAGTTGGTGGCTTCGACCGTGGTGCTGCAGATTCGCCTACACTGCCACGGCTGCATTCAAAGAATCAAGAAGACTATTCTTAAGGTTAAAGGTAACTAATTTATTTATTT